TGCTTTCACCATGTTTAGTTTAACTGTGTTTCCTCAAAATTAAAAAGATAAAAAAGAAATTTTAAAAAAATACATTAGGATTGCTTACCCCTACAAACCTAGACCCACTTTTGGTTTGAGCCAAGACTCTTGCACCGTCTAGTCTAGATCTTAGTCTAGGTTCTAGCATAGTTCTAAGCTTAAGAGTTGCCTCTAAAGCTAGACTAGGCTTACCCTAGTTCAGGGTCTTAACCAAAATCCATTGAGTCTAATAAGTCTAGGTTCCAGTCTAGTCTTAGCCTAGGTTTTTGCCCCTAGTGTCAGGCTAGGTTTGCCCTAAGTCATCGAGTTTAGATCTTACTTAAGTCTAGATTTTATAACTCAGCCAAAAGCAATCATTATGTCAATCACTCAAGGCGACCATGATGATTGCTCCACGGCCGACTCTAAGCCTAACCTGCCCAAACCTAGGGACCAGTATGCTGCAATCCCTTGGAGTTATCGATAGACCTCAGGACAATTTATTATCTAACGCCCAAGTCTTCAATTAAAGGCAAAGTCCCAAGCATCCACTCCTAATCCTGAGATCTGTGTGGCCCGATAAAGCCGGCTCCACCCGAAAAACCTTGAATAGTCAGGGAGTCCGACCAGACATCATCCTACTGAGGATTTTAGGCAACCAAAGTAGAAGTCGAGTGAGGGGAGAAATTCATGCAACACCTAAATCCAATTCCCGTAACTTGAACCAAGATAACTCTAAGGTGTAGCGATCTCAAAACTAAGACCCACTTAGGTCTAGGGGATCTAACCCAACCTTGAGCCACCATAGTACAACTCATGATGTCATGAACATTGGACGAAGCAGAGGTGCCGACTCAAACCGACCCTTAGGCGAGATAGGTGTCCAAGCTGCCCTCAAAAGTCTAGTTGACCTAAGTTACACTGTTCATGCCCTAGCTTATGGGTCGATCTCAAACCAAGTTAGTGGTATTGGTCAACCCTTAGCACAACTGATTCTTCAATCGGTCCCTCTAGTTCATCCAGTCCAACATACCGTGCAATTTTCGCAACCAGTGGCGACACCTATGGGTCAGTATGCCCCTTAGGCACCAATGTATCAAACCACCCCGGTGACTGCGACTCATCAATCTCTGGCCCATGCAGGCCAACATATACCACAAGTTTCAACTTATCAGTATACACTTGGGAACCCACCAACTAATGGACCTACTGTCATGTCAAATACTCAACAAGAAGGCACCTTAAAAGCAATGCAGGATATACTTGTAAGAATGGGCATGCATGAAATTCTACCCCCAAAGGCCTATGTTCATGAGACCTTTGAAGGCATGGAAGACCTTTTCCTTGGATTTGTCGTCCCAAAATTTAGAAACAAGTTCAATGGGAAGAGCGATCCAGATACTCACGTCAACGCGTACCTCCTCTTCGTTCGAGCTTTGTGAGATATGCCTAACCAACTGAAGGCTATCTTTTCACAAACATTAAACGGTGAGGCCTTGAACTGACATCGGAAAACAATGTCCGCTCGACCACACTTCACTCCAGACAAAATGTTCAACCTATTTGTCTCTCACTACCATGGGTCGACACTAATACCTCTCTCCCTGGACGAACTCAGTACAACAAAACAAAACCCAGGAGAATCCTTCGAGGATTTCATCGATCGATTCCGTGAGGCGGCAATGTGGGTCAAAGAATATCCACTTACAAACCCAACCAAGATCTCCATAGTCTTAGATAATGGTTCTCCTTATATAGGACCTTCTTCAGCCAAGGTCTTATCCCCCACTTTTTCGACTCCATAATCGAGCAGGTGGCGCGACATGAAAAAGCCAAAGGGATACCCCTCAGCACCAAGCCCGACAATAAACAGATAACTGCTCCCCAAAACGAACAAAAACAAGAGGAATTCTTCCTGTCATATTAATGAGATCGACGTTAAAGGATCGGCCCAAGGTTCAGCTGCTCAATGCAACAGTCAGAATCAAAACCGAATGCGTCAGCTTAGAGCCAACGCTCAAAATAATAACCAAAGGCAAGAGGATAATTTCACCTTTCTCAAGGACCCATTAGAAAAAATGTTGGAATTACTTTTAGCTAAGAATATGATTTATTTCCCTTCACCATCTGAACCATCATTTCAAGATAAGAGCAGGTGGTGCAAATGGCATCAAAACCATTCTCATGATACTCAAAACTATATATATTTGAAATAGGTGATTTAAGGGTTAATCAATAGGGGGGACATCACTGTCACACATAGAAATCAACCTGTCAAAGAGCCTAATCAAAAGATGGGTATCTTCACAAATTCTCTCCTTAAAAATATGGTCACAACGATCAAAAAGTCGGGAGCTCAAGACAACTCGAAAGAGAAGGTTGTCATCACATGATTGAGTGAGGAGACGAAGAAGAGGACCCTAGTCAGTTCATATTGACTTGTGATCATTACTTTCACGAACCCGAAGAATATCTTTTGAGCCTTCTAAGAGGAAGCCCTTCATCTCCAAACCTCGATAACCTTCCTAAATGAGATCGATATGACAAAGATGACACACTAGAGATTGATATAGTCAGGACTAATGAAAAGGCGTCATCTTTCTAACAAGGGACCAACACCCCAAAGTCTTCCATTACTCTTGCTAGGGCTGACCCTATCGAGCTTCAAGCTGGCGAGGTTGACTCCTTAACCCGAAGAGGCCGAGTGTTGAAACACACTCAATTGATGGCCGATACTCTCGATGAAAGAATGAAACATACCTAAAAAACCAAACAACCAATGGGGGTCGTAGATCATGAGCCGAACAAGGAAATTCAAGGATCTGCAATCACCTACGATCTACCAGCTCATCTCGGGAAGATCCAGGCTCAAA